CTCTACTACTTGTAGAATCTGAGCTCACTCTCCACCGAGTCGCTGAAGAGACAGTGCATCTCCATGGTCTCGTCGTCCTCCGCCACGCCCTTCCCCGCCTGCTCCACCAGCTCGTCGATGCAGAGGCTCTCAATCTGCCGCAAAGTCTGCTGCAGCTCCNAGAGGCTCTCAATCTGCCGCAAAGTCTGCTGCAGCTCACCATCCGCCCGCAGTCGCTCGTAGAAGGCCTCGTGACGGCGGTAGAGGGTGTGGCGGCGGTCTGGCGGCGGCACCGAAGATCCATCTCCTACCTCAGGAGATTTGGTCTTCTCCGAGGCCTCCTTCACCGCCCGGTGGAAGATGAAGGGCTTGAAGTAGGAGAACTGCGGATCGGGCGTCCCGGTGAACCAGTGCACCGACTTCACGCCCGCCCCGCCCAGCAGCGACACCTGACTAGAGGTGGTGGGAAAGGCGTCACTGCAGTCGCGGCAGATGCCCGACTCCTTGTCCCGCAGAACGCTGATCATCGACTTGACTGAGAATTGGTTGTCTGCAGTGGGGAAGGGGGAAAAGATTGAACGAAGAGTTGTGATCATCACGATATTATTCAGCTCTCTTGCACTGTTTACCTTTGGTCGCCTCGGCCAGCAGTGCCCTGCCCGCCTTCAGCCGCTCCTCGTCGCCCTTCTCCTGGTCGCCGTACACCTGCGCAAAGTGAAACGCCCCACTGCCGTCCCAGAGCCCGCGGTCAATGGCCGTCTTCTGCAGGCCCTCGCTCTGTCGGTCGATGGTGCTGCCGATGGACAGGCAGTTGGAGATGTTTCGAAATGGGCTGGTCACCCGCTCGGCCGCCCACTCCCGCCCGGCCGTCTCCAGGACCCAGGCCTCGGCGGGGTCGACGATGAGGAAGCCATTGTGGTAGAGCAGCTCGGGCGGCGTTGTCGTCTCCGAGCAGGCGCCGCCCTGGCCGTACCGCTCCAGCAGCGAGGTGATCACGTCCACGGCCTCAGTGGCGGTCTTGGCGCGCTCCAGCGCCAGCCGCAGCAGGTCCATGCCGAGGAGGCGGCGTTCGGCGTCCACCGCCGGGTCGGCCAGTCGCGTCCAGACGGCCTCGTTGCCGATGGCCAGGCCGTGCTCGTTGGCGCCCATCTCGGCGCCCCACATCCACGCCGGCTTGCTGAGGATGGTCGCGTAGGTGCTGCTCGAGGGGGAGTCCACTGAGATGTAGGTGCACTGGTAATGAAGTGGTTGGGAATAGGTTTAGAAGTAGGATTTAGAAATGTAAACAAAGAAACGTACCTTCTGCTGGACAGTGGACGG